AGGAAGCCTCCGCGTTTCGCCGCGCCAGACCTCGCCGATCGCGACAGGACCAACCGGACCCCGAGTCCGAGAGGCTCTTGCGCAGCCAGGAACGGCAGCGAAGTAGGAGCTGCTCGTTCTGCGCTACCATGCAGTGCTCTACAGTGCTCGGAGCTCTCGGGTGTCATTCGTGCTTGCACTGAAGCCATTGTGACCCCTTCGGACGCGCAAGTCCCTATTGAAAATCGCTCTGATGGGACTTCAGGATTTTTTTAAAGGGTGTGAAAGGGACTTCAGGAATTTCTGAGATGTTTGACGGGGGCACCGATATTTCCTGGTGGGTTCACCGGCCCCGTCAGAGGCTCTCCTGAAATGTCTAAAGTCCCCTTTACGATGCCTTGAAATGTCTGAAGGCCTGTCAAGAACTTTTCTAATGGGGTCGGGAAAACCTTCAGGCCTCTTGATATGTCTGTGTGGGCAACGGCCCAGGTGGAAAAAACACATTTCGCAGAATTAATGAACATAGCTGCTTATTGTACGCTACGGGGGAAAAAATAAGTATTTGGAGAATGCCGATCGTGTGTGAGTACGGTCAGATTTTTATTACTGCTCTTCTATCAAATACGAGTGGGCTCCTGGACCCGTCTGTCACTGCCCGGGTGTTCGGTCGCGAAAGAGCTACTGAGGGCGACCGCCCATGTGGAGAATTGACGAGCCGCCGGCCGAGTGGTGTTGGCCGAGCGGCGTTTTGAGGCGAACGCAATCCTGTCCGCTCGAGGCGAAATACGTGCAACCATGTATAAAAAAAAAAAAAAAAAAAAAAATCAAGAAAAAAAAAAAGAACAAGCCGAGAGCAGTGCGCGCTTTCCAGGAACAGGGACGCACGCGGGAGCGACTCGTTCCGGGAACCGGTCCCCCCACGGGGGACTGTCCCCAAAAAGCAATCGCCTCTCTCCGCCCGGCGATGGGGAGAGGGTGCAGGGCTGACAGGCCAGCGGTCGGGGGGAGGAGGGTGCTGTGTGCAAGCGGGGGAGGCCATAGCCATTTTCTCTCTGCTCGTGTGCGGTTCCGGTTATCCCCCGAGCCTGGATGTTTGGAGCGGACCAATTTCCTCCAGCAAGGTGAGCATGCATGGTTTTGAGGGCTCGCCCCTTGGTCTGTTTTGATCCGTGCAGTTTCTTTCTTGGTACCGCAGGTGAACCATAGTTCGGCGCAGGCCGCCTTCAGCACCGCTCGAGCGCCTTTGTGTTCAGCGCATTCAAGGAGATGGTGGCCGGTGTCGGCTTACTCGCTGCAAAGCCTGGCAGTCGGGGTCAGCGTCCCACCGCATGTTGTGCCTGCGCACCGGGATTATGGCACTGTGGGTGTTGAGACGGTGGATGACGGCCGCTGTCCGGACTTGTTCCTTGCGCCTCTTCGTCCGTCCGACTTCAGACCAGCGAGCAAAGAATACGCCGAAGACGCCGGCGCGACGTCATCATGGACGAAACCGTGACTGTGCTCGGGATTTCTCAACGACGGCGGGTGCTGCTTACGAGTTAGTGGTTTTCGCTAAACGTGCTTACTGAGACTGTGTATGTGTCCGTGAGGTGCACCTGCTCGGTTTTATTAGCTGAACTACCGTACATCAGGAATATACCCAGCGGCATTGTGAGTACTTTGAAAGGTATTTTTCTTTGTGATAAGGATGTCAGTTGTCCCTGTTTGATGTGATCCCTTTCGTCTACAGCTCCTTGCGCCGGGTTTGAACAAGCGTTGCTTTTTGAGTTATAATATGCATGTAAAACTAAATGTCGGCAATAAATTTTCAGTGTTTTGACCTGCATTTTTGTCTATGGTCCACAGACATTTGGGCGTCTAAAGGGTTGATGGTCTAAAGGGCCTGACGGGTTAAAGGGCTGTGGGGCTAAAGGTTTTTTTTATGGGGTATCCTTGAAGGGTTTTTCTGTGGGGTATTTTTGAAGGGTTTTGAAGGCCTGTGAGGTCCCATAATCCTTCAAGGCTGACGGGCCCTTTTAGAAATATTTTCAACAGGGGTCGTACTTCGCAAAGGTTTGGACGGGGCCGCCCTCACCGAGCAGCTCCGCTATATTCCGCTTACTTATGATCGCAACAAAAGCTTGCGTTTGTTGTCGGGAAAAAAAATTGCGGGACCGCTCTCCGCGCCGCTGACGAGGTTGGCCGCCGCCATGTTCTCAGCTGTTCACTCGCTCCTGCAGCGAGCGCCTTGCGATTATCCTTCCCGTTCCAAAATGCGATGCGCTTTGCGCATTATGCCGTTTACATGATCATATATTGAATGCGGCAACTGGATTCAATGCGACTAAGTCGCATTCATGTAAACGCGGCTTATGTTCGTTTTCGACATACATGGTGTATGTACGATACCGGTGGTGAACGATGGACGTTTTTGGTGGAAGATGGCGGTCGTCTTTCTGCATGTATGATTTAGTTATACCGGTGGTCCTGTGGTGTAAGCGTTTTGTTGGAAAGAAGGCGGTCGCCTACGTCATCGGACGCAAAATCATACAAGCCACACGGAATCATATCGGCAAGCAAACTGGCTGCCAGTATAGACAGACCCGGAGCCATAGCGGTGCCGGTATCTCCAGTTATGCAGAACGCCAAACCAAACTAGCTGCATACATAATACCAAGAAATTATGGTGGTGTCATACCAGAATTGTAAAAGCGGCAGGTTTGTTTCTTGTACGTTTTTCCAATAGGGTTCGGAGTCATGTTCGGGTTCCGAGGACGACGAAACGCAGACCTTTTCGGGCTTTCTTCGATTTGCGGTTGGGGCAAGTCGTAACCAAACCAACGTTTCACATCGCAGCGTTACCTCTGGTACGTGATGTCAAACGATGTCGCCACGTTGACTTTCGCCTTGGGAGGACGGGGGGAAGGCTGGTTCAGACATGTGCAACGAGCGCGTACCTACGACTGCGTTCGTTGCAACCGGAGTGACCGGAACGACCGCTCTGCCCCGCGCGTACACACACCTGCAACCACTACAACAAGCGCAGTGGGTCGTCAGCACGGCGACCGCTTCTATACGCCGCCGTCAGCTGTTTCAGCGGCCCCTCTAAAAAGGGGACGCACTGCTACTCAATGCCGTAACAGAATATAGAGACAGTTTTCTATAGCCTAAAGCTTTATTATTATTTTTTCTTGATAGGCTTGCAGGGTACAGTGGATGAAACAAAGAAAATAAAAAGATGCAGTCCGCCGTCTTAGACGATCACGACTCTATACACAACATTGCAATAGTACAAATATCGCCACACGCCTTTTCTACGATTATAAAAGACAATGTAATCTTAGCAGCGATATTGCAACGTAGAAATATGATTTCGTGATCAGATAGATGTTGCGAGCGTTCAGGATTGCTAACACTAATCACTTTTCTCCGGTGATGAAAACGCGTGAAAATTCGCATCCTTTATATGGTACGCGCCAGTAATGTTTTGAACTTGAGCACACGCATGAAATGCGCCAAATAAGAAATGCGGGCGATGTTTGAGGACACAAATGCTTAGAAAGGACCACTGTAGTCGAAGTAAACAAACACGACGGCACGGGCGTTTCTGCTGTCTTGAGAGTGCCGCCACGACATCGACGCACGCTTAGGTGGATCTTCCCATCTGGTACGTGCTGGGTTATCATAGCGACAAACGACGAAAATTCACAGTCAAGGATAGCGCTTTTACGCGGAAAGATGAGCTTTCACCACGCCGTCCACGCCGACGATCACCACCGACGCCATGTTTGCGGATAGAAGGAGCCGGCCGGCCCGCGACGGGCACGACCGGCCTACAACGCGCGGAGACACGAGCGCTTCCGCGCATCCCTGGGGAACGGGAAATTCACCCCCCGCGGACGAAGGCAAGGAGAAAACGTAGTCCTTTGTTTGTGAAGCGATAATTGCAGTATCGCGTATTCTAAACTAGAAATATTTTACGTCTCGTGAAATTATCCGGCATAACATATTTAAATGAACTGAAAATTGTTTCTTTAGCGAAACTTTACAAAGACCGCCAATATTTTCAAACGTACGATAATTTCATTGGTCCTCGCAAGTACAGAAAAGGGACCGCACGTATTTTATTCCTGCGTGAATAATAGGCGGTTCTGCCTTCCAAAACTCAAGATACTCATTCACTGACAATTCCTTAACGCCATCGCACCAAAAAGTAGCTTCTCCAAAAACCGCTTGAGTGCCCCTTTAACTCTCGCTTGCGGCGCCTTATACGACCGAATGCGCCGCTGCAGAGCTTGTCGTAAGCCATCGCAGGAGGCTTAAAAACCGGTCTTGTCTCACTCGGTTTAGCATCGTTCACACTCTTGCGACCGAGTACTAAAAAAACTATTAAAAGCCCTTACGTAAAAAAAAAAGAAAAACCGTCTTGGCGATGCGTTGTAGGTATATCTAGATGCGTGTGCCATGGATAGTGAACACAGAAATTAAAAAAGAACGGACAGGTGGCGGAAGCCTCCGACCCTTTCACACGCTCAACAGATGTCATCAATTCATGCCCTATCGATATTCCACATCTCTTCATTGGTTCTTCGTGTCACCGAAAGCTTCAGAAACGCAAGGCGTGGCGAGTTTAAAGGATCTTATCATCGCCCCGCAGTCAATGATATTATGGCCTTTAGCCGATAACAACGTCGAAGAAGGAATCGCGAAGCAGTAAGTGTGAACTTAAATGAGACACGCCCTGCGTTCAAGTTGTCAGTCTATGGACCAACGCGCTGTCCGCAAACGCGTCAGTGTTTGCGCTTGCGTCGTGCCGACAGCAGCGCCACCTTAGCGGTGTGACGTCAAAGCAGCCTGTTGGTGTAGAATAATACGTCAAAAATTTAAAATATGTGTCTTTTTTTCTCTCGTCTTTTTAATAAATTTTCTTACTATCGTGTTCCCTTCTCTCCTAAAACAAAAAAAGAATTATGAACAGAATTTTTGATTTATAAATGAGCGTAAGAAAGGTCAGTAAGGGTAAAATGCATGGAAGTCCTTACGTTGGACAATTTTCATATAATCCGGCAATAATGGCATTCTTGATCCATAGAGCGCGGACCTGCGAATGACAAGAAAAGCGATGGACCATTTGGAGTACCTCTAGTCAGTTACAAGATTCATTGAGCAACAAAGCGGCGCGTGAGGAAGTAATCATGCAGATGCAAACTATAGATGAATGAACGAGGAATCCTTACCCTAATGGTCTGCCCTTGAGTGGGAGTGACATTCGGGTCAGGAACCAGAGACGCTGCCCCGACACCCGGACAGTTTACCACCACATCGTAGTTATCAGCAAGCTTTAAAACCAAAGTGCAATTTAATGACTCTTCAGAACAAACAAACAAAAGAAGTCAATGGAGAGAATTAACATCTTATTGCGGCGAGCTGTTTCGTAGTACAATACGTTCTAAACTTCATCTAACTTTGAAGGGGTAGGGAAACGAAATGTTTGCACTTATTTCTTTGTTCAGAAGAGGTCTATGTTGTGCCGGCAGCCCAGAAACACTAGCCTAGACTAGTATTCCCGGGCTTCCGGCAGCGAAGTAAAGAAAACTAATTTTAAAACAAATTAACAGATTTAAAAATTGCGTCTGGTCGCGGTGTGGTGAGTTACTGAGAGGCAGCGCCAGTTCGGGGCACTATGGCTCGCTCGTGGAGTTACCAAGTCCTGAATGTGACTTGGCGGAGAGCGTAAACGCGTTTACTATGTTCTATATGTTAAAGCTTCCACAGCGCTTCCCAACGTGAGATCCACTCCATCAAGATCGCAGTTCTTTGCAGACGCCAGGTAGGAGTTTGATCTTAGGATGCGGAGGCCTCTGCCAGAGGAACCATACCACTGACCCCCCCCCCCCCCCCCCCCCCCCCCAACCCCTGCCCGGATGCGCTGGGAATTGCGTTCTCAAATATGGCGCCAAGTGAGTACCTCATATACCTAGCTGGCAGGTGCCGACATTCCTTTGTGCTGACGGTTAGTTCTATTTACTGGTTCCCTCGAGCTACTAGTATTTCTACGGTGTGAAACTAACATGGTGAACCGAACTCTCGTGGCACAGAGAGTACCGGCATGACCGCGAATGACGTTCCGGGCAAGCTATGTATAGCTGGCATAGGGCGCGCAGTCCTCGGATATGAATGAAAGGAAAACTCTAACCGAAAATTGATACGGAGCCCGACGCTTCAAGGCCAGTTTGGCCCCTTGACTACGGCTGATTGTTTTTGTTCTTGTCGTCGTCTTGCAAATTGCCCGGTGTTGTTGGCTTCTTTAAAGCGGTTACCCGTGATCAAGGGGCCGAACTGGCCTTGAGACGTCGAGCTCACGGTGAAAGAAACACATTTATGGTACGTTTACACTGGCAGATCCGCCAGCGAATCCGCCCAGTTTTTGCCGCTGGGGCTAAACGCTGGGCGGAAAACGCGGCGGCGAGGCGTACAGGTCCGGTATCTATTTCTGCCGCCGAACGAGACGTTTCGCTGACCGCATGTGATATTCTTGTGCAGCGCGACGCTGCCTACGTCATGAGTATGCGTTCTTCCGGGTGCTGCAACGCCCGGGATTAATAACAATAATATTTATTCAACTCGGAAAGAGTTGCGACACCACAAAAGGCGAGGAGCCCATACCAGGAGGTCTGTAATGCCGCAGTTACATGAGCGACAAAAAAAAAAAAAAAAATTCATAAATGCATTTTTTTTTTGCACAGTCGAGGTGGGAACTCTCGCGCCTCCTCGTCATATTTGACGGGATGTTGCGAGAACAGCTGCCGGAGCCGGCGCCGCCGCCGCCGCTCGAAGGAAATAGATGTAAACACAACCCGCTCGTCGCCGCCGCCGCCGGAAGCAAATCCGCTCCCGCGGCAGCGGGTTTCTTCTCAGGTGTAAACGTACCATCAGGTGATGATTCTCTGTCTCGCGCGGCGACCACATTATGTTCGGCGCAGCGAGCGCGTTTCACTCGCACGGGGATAGATGGCGCCCCCGTATAGAGGGGCTCGTGAAGGGCTTGTATAGAGGGCTTGTGAAGGAAATTATGCATTCTTTACTCGGTCCCTGTGTACTGTGTAATGAAATGATGGATTTATATTGCCGCACTGGCACTGATTATTTTTCCCCCGTGTGGTTCCTGTTTTTTTTTGTTTTTTTTTTTTAAACGAGAACATTTTCATGATGACTCAACGTGATAAAAATACTCGTATAAATATAAAACTTCCCAACACAATCTACTGGTCCTTCAATAATTTAGAGTAATTTAGAGTAAACACCTGGGTCGCGCTCGCATGTTTGGTAACAGTTTCGTAAATTGTTTACACACATTGCGTGGCTTTATATAAGGTCGGGTGATGTTTTCCGCCCTGCTCCTGCCTTATTGAAAAAAATAAATTATAATAATGTTACATAATGGGGCATAAATAATTCTTTAAATGCGCATAAAGGTTTTAGCATTACAAATAGTTTATACATACAATGTCAACTTGTACTGTGGAACATACAAACCTTGTGAGCAGAAAAAATTCCTATTCATGATGACATAGTGACTGAAACGATGACACTGTATAATGACATACTGACTGACATGATGACACAGTGACTGAAAGTCAAACAATAGTAGCGGTTATAATACATAAAACTCTTTTCATTTATACTCGCACAATATGATATCACCACGTCTTACAGGTAAAAAAATACCTGACAAATATTTTTTGCTTTAAAATGTACATAAAAGGTGAATTCACTGCATACTACTAAAGAACGCCATCTCCTACATCCTGTGTTCCTCGCCCATGCCCTTAAACTAAGACGAGCGCTGCTTTGCCGATTTCTTTACCTCTTGAGCTTGTTTCTTCCTACTCATCGTAATATGCTTACAGTGTTGTCCCATTCGCATGCTGAAGTAGTAGTGGAGCAACTGGGCGATTGTTTTTTCTTTGTGTTCAGCGCATGGAAATGTTATTGTGCATGTGTCAAGAACACTGTCGATTGTGTCCCAGTAGACACTCTGGTGGCTTTTATTTTGCACGAAGAACTGTTCCGCTTTCTTCAGTAGCTGGAAAAGGTTCTTGTTGGGGTGTGTAAAGCCTCCTCTGTTCTTCACGTTTGTCAGTGCTGCTTCAGTAGAAGTGTTCTTGTTGATGCTGAAAGCGGATCGGCATGCAGGGCAGCGTGTAGCTTTTTTTTTTTTAATTTTCACGCTCAAAATCTCAGTTACATAATATAGCATGCAGTCCACAGTCTTGGTTTCATGAGCCTTTTCTGTCCAGACATCTTCGCATTCCCAGTCTTCGACAGAAATTAGACTGTCAAGCTCGGTCTTCACTTGGTCAACGAGATGAGGAGACTAGGTAGTAACTTGCGATCGGCCCTCGGGATTGCACGACGCCACTGCTCCAGGCGAGCGTCATTCGATGGAGCTTTAAACAAGGATACTCGCTCTGCGCAGTTCCGGTACCCCGAATTGCAGTTGGGAACGAAGCACGTCGTTCCCATCCTTATAGCGTAACTTCTTCGGGTTAATGCTCATCTTCGTGCACGATGGTGGCACCGGTGATTGACACAGCACCAAAGCAAAACATGAGGTCAGCCACTGACCGCACACCACCACCACACCGCGAAAAAGGCGAGCAAGCTACGCCCCCGACTCCGTGGCCGCCGAGGAGAGACCTCATACCCACGGTGCTCACACCTCGGCGCTCTCCGCGGCGGCACGGAACAACTAAACTTTGTTTCACCTTATGTTGTACCGCAGCGAAGGCTAGAAGCGCGAGCTCATAGCGTTGGCAGCTGCTCTTAAGTAACGAGAGCTTGTGCCGCCGGGATGTGCCCCAGAGCAAGGAGCTCGCGCTTGTAGCCTTTCCTGCGGTGTATCATAAGTTGAAACAGGATATACTCTTTGTTCGAGGCTTGTTCCGAACACGATCTGGTCACTCGCTCCCCACGAGAAGAGCGGCCAGAGTCACCATCTAAATTTATTTCTTCCACCGTGGTCAAGCTTCATATCAATTTTTGGTTAGAGTTTTCCTTTTATTGATTGCCATTCCTAACCAGGTGGATGTCCACCAAAAGGTTTACGTTTAGTCCCCGGATATTACTACCAGGCGAGTTCGTCACGCCACGGACGCCAAAATGCGGCAAGGCTCGCCACTATGATGCGCTTGGCCGTGCATGACCTGTGGACGTCACGAGCGGGATACGGAGTGCAAGTCGTCTGGTTCTTGCGCAGGAGTTGTGGTGACGTCCGAATGACGCTGAACTCTGATCGGCTTTGATTGAAAGGATATTGGGTAGACCTGAATGCTAGGTGCCTTGAAGGCTACCCACTGCGTTTTTCCATCAGCCAATAGGAGTTCAGAGAGCTCGCGTCATTTCATTTCCGCACCCCTTTAAAGACCGACGACCAGGTCGCGCTTTCCACTTTTCCCCCACATCCTCCTCTCCCCCTTCTACCCTGTCCACCTTTGCCTGTTTGCTCCTCCCCATGGTGAGGAGGATCTGCCTCGCAGAATCTCGAGTCTGGTCGTTGGCCTTTAAATGCGACCACATCCGACGCTACGCAGCTCTGGGTCCCACAAGTAGCGTTAAAAGTGCAACGTCATGGCGCTCTTTCTTTTTACGCCATTGCCAGGCCAGGCTTGACCTTTGTACAGATGAGATCAATATTCATGCAGGTTATAAACCAGTTGAACAAGTATTAAAGTTCAGAAAAAATATAAACAAATAAAAATGGGAGGGAAACAGACGACTTACTTCATCCAGACTGGTCAGTTTCTTGGTGACGAAGCGACCACCTGCCCGCGGAAACCTAGATTAAAAGTTTAAATGGTAACTTTATAAGAAAATATGAGCACTAAAACTCCGACTAAAGTGCGTGCACGTACCGTTCCATCAAGTACGGAAGCAGTTTCTTGCCTACACAAGTAATGGCAACAGCATATCTTCCGTACCTGCGCGGAAGATTACTGTATAAATATAGCTTGTCTAAACAGCGCTGCGCTTTATTTGTAACTGACTATATTAAATTAAAAAAAATTAAATTCCAGTTTTTGACATTATTTTGTCAAGCGGAAACGACAGCGTAAACCCAATAATGTGTTCATCTTGTGAGTGGGCCGACTCCATGTGTTAAACACTTCATGACAGCGTGCAACGTATACAGTTAAGCAGAGAGGTATAAGCAGAGGTCGGCATTTTAGGTCGCCCTCACTCACCCTCACCCTCACAGCCACACTCACCTAAGTTCCTCACTCACCTTCACCCTCACAGCTACACTCACCTTCAGCCCCTCACTCACCCTCACCCTCACAATCACACTCACCTTCAGCCCTTCACTCACCCTCACTGAACCTTACGGCCCTCACGCACTCACCGCCCTCACGGCCCTCACTCACTCATGGCCCTCACGACACTCACCGCCCTCACGCCACTCACCGCCCTCACGGCCCTCACGGCCCTCACATGCCCTCACCGCCCTCACGGCCCTCACCGCCCTCACGGCCCTCACGCACTCATAGCCCTCACGCCACTCACCTCCCTCACGGCCCTCACCGCCCTCACCGCCCTCACCGCCCTCACGGCCCTCACCGCCCTCACGGCCCTCACGGCCCTCACCGCCCTCACGGCCCTCACGCACTCACAGCCCTCACGCCACTCACCGCCCTCACGGCCCTCACCGCCCTCACGGCCCTCACCCCACTCACGGCCCTCACCGCCCTCACCGCCTTCACGGCCCTCACCGCCCTCACGGCCCTCACGCCACTCACCGCCCTCACGCCACTCACCGCCCTCACGCCATTCACCGCCCTCACGCCCCTCACCGCCCATGCGGCCCTCACACCCCTCACGCCCCTCACGCACTCATGGCCCTCACGCCACTCAGGCCAGCTTCAGATGGGGAAATTTCGCTCAGAAACTTTACGTCGCAACACCAGCAACACGAACCGCCCGCGATCACATGCAACAACCAATTGCTGCAATTTGCCATCGTCATCATAACATTTTATTTTTCTTGCACTATTTAGACACAATTACGCGTTATAAACGTGTTTTTATGCATTTAAACCTCGTTAAGAATACTAATGCACCTCTCTGAAACAGTTTATTTCCAAAAAAACGATCGCTTTCAAACCAGAACCAAGTCATTCGGTGTCATCATCACCGGCACGAGGTATCGCGTGAAAATTTTGAGTCCCTGATTGGATGCAGCCGCTTCAAACGTATTCGAATTGCTCCGAGTTGCTTGCTTATTTCGAGCCGGACCCGATCTCAGCAATTCGTGTCGATCTAAGGAAAGCTAGAGAACAAGCCACCATTAACACCAAAATTGCTGAGAAAGATGCTCGATGTGAAGGGGGCCTCGCGCACTCACCGCCCTCACGCACTCATGGCCCTCACACACCTCATGCACTCACCGCCCTCACGGCCCTCACGGCCCTCACGCCTCTCATGCCACTCACTGCCCTCACGCAATCATGGCCCTCACACCCCTCACGCATTCACCGCCCTCACACCACTCACGCACTCATGGCCCTCACGCCACTCACCGCCCTCACGCCCCTCTCGCACTCATGTCCCTCACCACCCTCACGGCCCTCACCGCCCTCACGGCCCCCACGGCCCTCACGGCTCTCACGGCCGTCCCCGCTCTCACAGCCCTCACTCACCCTCACACTCATGAATTTTCCTGGTTCAGAAACTCACTCACCTTCACCTCACCTGTGAAGATGAGGGTGAGTGAGTGTGAGTGAGGGCCCGCATGAGTGAGGTTTGCCTAGGTATGCTGGAGACGACCACGAACTTCTTGAGGGCTGAATGATGTCGTCGTTGATCATTTCCTGTACTTGATCTTGAATCACCTTCCTTTCCGTTAAGGATACTCGATACGGCGACTGGTGGACAGGGAGCGCGTCGTCGTGTGTAATAATGCGATGTTTCGCCATTGGTGTTTGGTGAACTTTCGACGACGTGGCAAAACAGTCACTGTATTCGGCGAGGAGATCAACCAGTTGCCAGTGCTTAGGAGCTGGGAGCTCGGGGTCGATGTCGAGCGGCGGCGGAGACGTGCTCTTCCGCTGTGACGACGAGATTTCCTCGGAGATTGCGGTGATCACAGCTGGCGCCTGAAGCTCCTCGACGTGGCTCACGGCGGCAGTCGTGGGTAAGTTACTTTTAAAAAAATTAATTCGTTACAGTTACAGTTACTTTCACATAAAAAGTACCGAAGTTACCGTAACAGTTACCGCAACAAAAGAGTAACTCGTTACAGTTACAGTTACTTCTAAAAAGCACCAAGTTAGTTTTCAGTTGCGTTTCTACAACACAAAAAATGAGGAAAAACTAGAAAACGCTTCTCACCAAGTTTTATTCCATAAAATTAAAAAAGTACGGTGGTTACGCTTTTGTTAGCAGCGACCTTTACCACAGAAAAATACTCTCTGTACGCCGGCCATGATAGTTGTACTTTATTCTCATCAACATCCCTATCCTTAGTAGCACTAGCCCATTGCTGGCTCGTTGACGGTTGCGCTGGGTTCATAGGGTCCGTGGCCCTGGACATATTTAAGTTCGTACCCTGCAAGCCAGAAACCAGTGTGTCGAACCGAAAAAAATATGGGTTCGGTTACGGTTCAGGTTCAGGTAAATTTATTTTGTTCCGGTTCAGTTCCGGTTCGATTAATTCGATCCGCGAACCGGTTCGCGAACCGGTTCGGGGCGCTAAACCGGTTCGCGAAACGGTTCGGAAATTATAAATGACAAATTGCAATATCAAAATAAATTACAAATAAAACATATGAAATCAGCACATACGAAACGGGATACATCGTAGTGTAAGGCTCAGGGATTTCTACCAGGAATGGTTTCTTTATGTGCACTCAAAGGTTACCTCACCGACGTTTACGCATTCGGACTTCATCTAATTGGGTCCGACGCAGTAGTTGTAAAATCCGCGACCTCCTTACAAACCCACTTACAAGTAGCACTCGCTAACTATCCCGCCACCTCGGCGTGTAAGCAATTGAAGGAACAGTGGGGAGAAAATACAGCTTTCTTTATTTGAACTAGCCTTCGGTAACTCAAATTGGACCCTTAAAGACGTTTTCATTAAACAAGATACGGAATATGAAAAACACTTCACCGAACGCAACGCCAGAAGGACGTAATAGGATAAATATTAAAATAGAAGAGTTCGCTGTTTCACAAATATGTTAGCTTCTAAGTGCTTATACGAAACCGGATGCATCGTGGTGCTGGCTTTCGTCAGCGGCCGCCACTTGCACAAAACTAACTACACCGCACACTATATTACCTGGAAGTCTAAAGGGATGCGGGAGAAGGTAACCACTTCTGTTCCAGTGACCACGTGGTTACTATGAGGTGCTGCTTTATGACGTAGGTTATTCTACGTCATAAAGCAGCGTCTAAGTGTGCATGGGTTTGAAATGTGGTACTGGTCCTACTTTAGCGCCATCATTTGACAGATTGGTAGGCCTTATCTACCTAAGCACTTCGTATCGGCAGCTTGCATGCTTGGAAGTTAAACACACGGCCACTTGTCCGAAAGCAGGGGGGGCGGGGGGGGGGGGGGGTGGTAGAGGAGAGCACCCTCTCCTAAACCTGGCTGTTACAAAGAAAACATTGAAAGTTATGCATTAATATGCAAAACCTCTGAAACTACCGTCATGTGAATTTATTACAATCGTATAAAGCAATTTCGACCAGCAGCTGGGTGTTTCCGAGCTCTGTTCGTGCGTAAATAGGTTAGTATAAATAAGCCACTATATAGTTGGGTGTTATGTAACATCTTACTGAGATGTCTTTAGATGGTGCATTTATTGTAGTAAGATTACGTGAGAACGAGTTTCTCAGAAAAAGTGCAAGACAAAACAAAAATCTGGAGTCGTTTACAAAGCTCTGTAATGTGAAATTAGAGCGCGGCTCTTGAGCAGGAGGGGAGGGTATGCCCCTTCTCCTCCTTCATACACTCGCCTCGTCCTATCCTTCTTCTCTCCCCTTCTCGTTTCCTCCTCTCCACTCCTTCCCCGTACCCTCCCCTCCTCCTCCTGCCTACAACTCCCATCCTCCTCGTCCACAGCTAAATGTAGAGGGAAATGACGTCACATATTTCGAGTCACGTGACCCACGAACAAATGCAGTTTCTACGCTAGATTCAGCGGGAAAATTCACATCACGTGACCTCAACATCATTTAAATTTCCCCCTAAATTTAGCGGGGCGCTTACGTCGACGCCGACGGTGACGGCGACGGTGACGGCGACGGCCACGCCGCTATACGCGGGAACGGGCGTCTAAGAGCTGCGCTCTAAAGCATATTATTTCCCACGTGCGGGAGGAAAACTGAAGCCAACCATGGGGGGTTGACGCTGCAACTCAGATACGACACCGCAAAGTACAAAAACTTGAAAGCCGCCTTCAAGTTGCGAATCTCATTGTTCTGCAGCTTTTGAGACCCGTGGGCACCCTCACCATCGCCTTCGCAGTCTTTTGTGTTTCATTAAACACCCCGCATGTTAAGCCTAACGAACGTAGGGGCCTGTCAGCGTTACCGAAAAGATTTCCAAAAAAAGAATAGTTTTAGAAATAAAATATAATAAACACACTTGTAAAGTTTTCTTAACACAAGAGTGTCTTTATAGTACCTACGAAATCATACATTTTAAGAGGGTGAATGAAAAAATTAACCGCAGCAGAGGGTGCCGAACGTACGATCTGCAGGAAAAACGCTTATTTCCGCAGCAGCATCTTTTACGCTCCATAACCCGAGTACAAAAAAAATGAAAAACGTTTACAAATATCTGTAATGTCAAATTAGATCGCAGCCCTTCTCCTCCTCTTCCCTCCTCCTCCTCCCCTTCTCGTCCTTTCCTGCTCCTCTCCTCCCGCCGCAGTCTCATCGGGAGTTGAACAAGGATCTACCCTTGGGTCGCTGTTGTTTCTGTCGCACTGGATCCATGTCGTCAGTGTGGTTTCATCTAAAGTGCGTGTCAATTTGGTTCCGTTGTTTGCACAAAAGTACGAACATGTGATGATGTAACCATTCTCGAGGCTAATTCTAATTGGTGCACATTGTCAAAAAAATATTAATCATAAAATATAATTTCAGTT